TCTCTCTCTCTCTCTCTCTCTCTCTCTCTCTCTCTCTCTCTCTCTCTCTCTCTCTCTCTCTCTCTCTCTCTCTCTCTCTCTCTCTCTCCGGCGCCCGAAGCTTTGCCCCCACGCCCGCTGCCCGGACCCTCCCTCGCCCGACGCCCAGCCTCGCGCCGCCTCTTCCCTCTCCCCTCGCTCTCCTTTTCCGACACGGCCTCGTCTTGCCTCAGCGCGCGACTCCGCCGCTTCGTTTTGCCTTTCCGCGTACCCGCGGGCCTCACGTCCGGTTCAACCCCGCCGTGTGTGGCCGGGACCGCCTCGTGCCGTTTCCGGTACGGGCCTGTGGGCACCGGTCGCCCTGGGGCCTGGGCCTTGCCTCCGGTTCCGCCCCTCGGCTGGTTTCTGCTGGGCCCGCAACTGCTTGTGTTGCCGAGACCTTTGTATCTTTTAAGTGTATTGAGATTAGGGAAACTTGCGGCAGGGGCACTGTTGGGGGTGGTATGAGCATATTGCCCAATACTAGCCCTCTGCCCTTGGCTCCTGTTTATTGGTGGGGAGCTTCACCTGCTGGAGACCGGGTCCAGCGTCCCATTACATAACTTGGAAGCCTCACATTCCTCATGGTTCAGAAGCTCTGCACTACCGTCTTTACCCGAACACAATGCCCGGCCTTTATGGCTGTAGATACAGCGATAATGACCGGGCGAAGACGGTAAGCAGCATTGATTGCCCTGTTGCCAGGGGATTGACTACCCGGGACCACCCACTACCTGGAAACATCCTACCCTGTAGAAAACAGCTCATCATAATTTTTTATTTTTTATTTTTTTTCCCAACACCCAGGGGGTATCACCCAGGCTGATAAGAGCAGGCCCTGGAGCATTCCTTTCTCATTCATGGTGTATGGGAATACATGCCTTCTTGTCCGGCTACTGCCTCTTCAGCTGGGCAGGGGGACCGCCAGATCGTCTGCATTGTCCCTGGCTGTAGTCTTGGCTTTTAGTCGATTCCATACCACCGCATGTCCACCAGAGACAGCTGGTATGCCGGAAAAGGGACTGGGAACTCTGAGGCGGGACACAGTGAGATTGTTGCATCCACCTTGGTCCAATCGTTCCTTATTAATTTCACGATAAACATGAAATCCAACGATACAGTCGATACTTGAGATGTACTTCTGATGTACCCCTTTGAAGTTTGAACCTCCTTAAAACCTGCCTATACTATAGTAACATGATACTGCCCCCAGCCCATCACCAAATTGGATCATAAGGCTGGATTCTGACTGCTCAAGCCAAGCTCATTCCTGACATGAAGTCATAATTTTTTTGTTTGGACCCTTGCCTCTTTTCGATTCGCCCGGTTGTCCTGGGTGGGGCCCCCCTGCCCACACGGCCCAGGCGTACGCAGCCGTGCGGGCTGGTAGCCTACCGGCAAGTGATTTATAAAATTGGCAGCAACTTTCTCTATTTTGCTTTCTGTTAACTTTTAAGTCACTAAAAAAGTGTCCATGTCCCGTCCCTGCATTGCTCTGTTGTAGTCTATTCTTTTTACACCAAATGAATTGGTGGATAGACTAGTCAATGATGCGAGCAGTGCCAAGTGTTGGATGCGACATTAACCCAGTTTTGAAGAAAGAGAAAAAGACGGGGAAAATAGAGGAGAAAAACAGAGGGTGAAAGAAAGAGGGGAGAACAAGAAGGGAGAGGTGGGCAGAAGAAGAGGGACGAAAAAGAAAAAGGGAGAACCAAAAAGAGAGCCTTCGGGCATACTCACGCTAGGACCTATAACCCCAAACTCCCCAAAAAATAGGTAGACTGCCGGTCACACAGATTTCCCAAGACCCCAAATGCACTATTCCTGTACCCATTTGTCAGCGGCCTGGGAAGCTGCATGCCAAGGGATTTTGCGGTCACCTCTGGAGATGACCTCAAATTCCCTATTTAATTCTTCGAATTTTCCCCAAAAGTTGGGCGAAATTCGTTCACTAAAGTTCTTGCCATATTGTCAATTGTACGGACCACATTTACGACTGGCGCTTTGTGACCAGCGAAGTGCCAATTCCCTAGTTCTCCAGAAGGCCTCGACCTTGTCCTATTAGTAAATGCAACGCAGTGTGACCGCCAGCGCGCCTAAACCACAATCAGCCTTTCCCAAATCCGCATATTTTGCGGATTTGGGGTCGCAGTGTGAGTATGCCCTTAGCACAGAAAGCAGGAGACAGGAAGAGAAAGAGGGGAGAAAAAGATGGGAAAGAAAGAGGGAAGTAAAGAGTTTTACGGTGTCAAAATACCCAGGCCATGTGCCTGAATGGTACTCACATGTAACTCATGGTAGTCAACAAACCATGAGTTTGAATCCAAGTGGAAAAGGACGGATACATTAACGTTAGGGGCTATACCCCCTTTAAAAGAAAAGAAAAGAGTGTCAAGGCCTGTCGGCAACCCACTTAGCTTCAACTTGCCCTGCTCACTGGATTTCATCGATAGGAGGGGTGGAGCAAGCATTTACAAAGGCCGGCAATGAGTGAGGCCCCACTTGCTTGGGTTCTTCATTCCCAACCTTAGGTTTTTCGAGTATCAAAATGGCCAGAAACACAGAATCAGGGAGAGTGAGAAATTGTCCCGGGTCCTATCAGTTGTGGATGCAAGACTGTTGGACTCACCTCCGACCGATGCTGCTCCACCCAGCTTCTTAGGCTTGCATACCGAAAGCAGTTTGTCAGCATTCGAGCACCCGTCAACAGATTTGCTGCAACCACAGGTGGTGTGCTCACTGACACGATACCCTCTAGCAAGAAATCTGCATCACCGCGCAATCACTGTCTCCTCAGAAAGAATAGTGATGACTTGTTCCCCGTTTCTCACTGAAAAGGGTAAAGAAGACAAAAACAAAATGCAAGGGATAGAGTCTTTGTGCGTGTGTGTGTGTGTGTGTGTGTGTTTTAGATTTTCCCCACAACAGCCCCAATTCCACCCAGGTGAATAGATTCAGAATCAAAGCAGTCTTTGTCCTATTGCAGACAACAAGAGATTTGAGATGTCCAACATATTAAAGCAATTTTATAATCAGACAGTTTTTTGGTTGTCCTTGGGGTACCCCTTTCATTGTTCTTGCAGCTTTCCTTTTACTGTGCCTCTTATGCACAAGGCTTCCCACGTTGATTGTGGTTGAGCAGCAGCGGCCCACATCCCCGTGTGCCTTCACGGCCCACTTCCACGTTATTTCAGGAGGCAGAGTAACAGGGAAGGTATGCTCCTGAAACGGTATTCAACAATTCGTGGTAGCTGAGGTAGATCTCAGGGCTCGATCCCTAGTTCCCCAACTTACCTGTGTACAATACCGGCGTCAACTCGAAGAGTTGAACCTGCGACCTGTAGAACCGCCAGTGGTAGGTAGGTCTGTCGTAGGTCTATAGGTAGCCAGGATTCGATCCATAGATCTGTAGACTAGAAGGCTAACTGCAGTCCTTCTAGAAGGTTGGCAAGTGGTCAAGTGGTGCAGGCAAGTGGGCAAGTGGTGCAGGCAAGTGGGCAAGTGGTGCAGGCAAGTGGGCAAGTGGTGCAGGCAAGTGGGCAAGTGGTGTGACTAAAGCAAGCCCATGTTGGAGACGAGGACAAGTGGCAAGGTCAAATAGTAGGACCCCGGTGCAATTGCACTGCGTCGTAGGGTCATCGTCATACAGTCAAGGGAGAGTCTAGAAAGTACCAGTCCGGTCCAGCAAGTACCACGGGGGGAACTGTGTGCACCATGGGCCAGGGACACAGGGCAGACCAATGCAGCACAGAAGTATAAATCAAGAGGCTGCGTCCATTCATTCATTCATTCCTGCGGATGCCAGGCGGAAGCGCTGCCTTAGCAGCTTGTGCGAGGCGGTCTGCAGTGCGCCCGAAGACGAATTGGGCAGAGAAGTGTAGTGTAGCGATAGGGTAGAGGCAGCTAGCGCTGCCATAGCTGTAGCATAGTATGTGTGTGTGTTGTGTATAATACTGAGTGTTGCGTGTGGGACATCCAGGGTGATCCAGAATGCGAACAGTGAGTTGTGTGGGCGCCCAGTCGCCATAGCCAGTTGAAGAGAACTCATATCTGGTTACGATATCTTGAGTACTGTGTGGGCGCATGTCGCCAGTTGCTGTACCGCTGTTTGCAGGCATGACAAAGTGACAGGAAGACGAGTTTGATTCCACTGGTATCGGAGCTGGTACCCGCTGTTCCATGCGCGCTATGTGTGCAGGACCGATCGGCCATAGCTGAAGTGCCGCCGGAGGAGGTAGTCCGCCATAGCGAACCTCGAGGTGGAAGGAGAAGCCGCGCACCTGCAACAAGAAG